GGCAAAGTAGAATTATTCTGAAGCCACAGAATATGGAATTAGTCATATCCGCGAAAACTTCGAAAGTTAAGGATCATAGGTGAGTTGACAAGACTTTAATCTTCGCGCGCTTTATTAAAAGCAATACTGGAGACCTTCTGTGGTACCAGTTATGAATTGTATCAAATCTTATTCCCAAACGATCATGTAAAAAATATTTGAAACTCCCGCCCATAGCATAGCAAGAGATAGGTTGGAATAGTATGAACTGCTATACTCTATATATCTAATAGCCTACACCAGAAGACTGATTTAGTTGTGAACTGGATGATGTGGAAAATTTTCCCCAACTCACTTTATCAAAATTACTATAAAGAACAAACTTGATCACTACACCTCCTTACGATTCCGTCAATGTCTCCCAAGAGTAATCCCTCCACAGTGTAATTAATGTGATAGAACTATTCTTCTCTATCACTAAAGTAATAGTCCTAAGAGATATATCATCTCCTTAAGGAATAACATATCTATGGATTAAAATAAAAAATGACTCTGGGCATGTTACGAGGGTATAGGATTTTTTTATTTATCTTTTACACGTATTAAGAAAAGCTTCCTTTCCTATTTCATCTCAGCTTCCCATCTTGTTCTGTCATTTTAACTTTAAAACTTCAGCACGGGAGTATATTACCTGCAGGCACCCTTATTCTTTAGGATTGATTAACAAGAAGAGGGTAATATAACAGAAATCCAAGAAGATTTTAACGGCATAGTGAATGATTGGATTTATTCCGATTATTTGTTTATTCCTTTCTCTCATTCGGCTAATATTTAAGCCCCAACAATCAGAACAAGGAAGGTCTACAATTATACGTCGTTTTCTAGTCCCAAGAATACGAATCTCGTGATATATTTCCTATCATACGCAATGTATTAAATAGGGAACTCATTATAGAAGGTCTAATTAATTATTTATCAGAGGATATGAGAGTATATAACTCATATTATGGAGGCCCCGATCTATCATAAAAAGATTAAGCAGAGTAAGCTAAAAACAAAGGAAGGTGCTATAATCAAGCCCCCAAAAGAATAATGTCTCTAAGAGCCCCTAAGTATTATATGATCTGAATGTAAATTACTAATTAGTCGACTTCTAGAGTTAATAAATAATAGAAAAAAACTGCTTAGTGTTCTATCCTAATCAGGATTAGATTTCAGTTAGTCCCTAAGACAAAACAAAACTTCTCCCTACAGAAGGATCATGTAATTAACTTACTAAAGGGGTAGGGGTGGGATGATGGTGAAATCTACAGAAGATCTGACCAAAATTAATTCCTACAGCAGCCCTTATAAATTATAGAAGATCGTCTAACACAAATCTTTAGTCCTTGACTCTTTTTAGTTCATCGTAGTAGAAGCCCGCATATGACAAGTCATATATACACCTTCCTCAAGTGAATCTAAAAATCAGGTAACAATAGCACCTTTCTTAGGAGCAAACTTAAGAAGGATTTCGGCGAAAAGCCAAATCCCCAGCGCCATATGTTATTAACCACCGCCTCTTGACAGAAGATTAATATATCATATGCCATAAATGAGAACATAGCCAAATTGTTTAATATATAACAGCTACGAAAAAGTGATGAGGGCATTGAGATCAGCAGAATCCAAGAAATCAACCCCCACTCTACGAAGCGCATTCCCTGAAGGTGGTGGTGAATATCCAAATCAAGACGACCTCAAGGAGATATCACTAACTTCTAAGGCCAAATGTCCAGGCGGGATAATGGAACGGCGTCCAAATGCATACGAAGCACAAAGCAACAAGACAGCTGCTACCACAAGAAGGTTAAAGCAATCTGAAGACGAAAGGATCCACCCTCTTCTAAGAAGTATCAAGCGTCAACAGCTAGCAATGGAAGAAATACAAAAAAAGAGCTTCCCTGAGGACGACACGAAGGCATCATATCTTTGGGGAACATCATATCTCCCAACTAACACTTCAATTAATTCAGCTCGAAGTCCGAGTCTAACGACTTATAGCTTAAACACCCAAGACCAAGACTAAACCCAAAAATTACCCAAGCCGGCTTAGGTCGAACCGAACCACCAAAGGCGTTGCACCACCCAAATTCTGAGGATTCGCAATAACTGACTGAGGAATCCTCCAGCTCACCCATCAAGTGACCTAAGGAAAAAAATGTAAGACAAATATCTGGATGAGTGATATCGTCTAACTTATGAAGAAGAGAAACGGACAACCAAACCCAGGATCGGCAGAGAATGGGGAGCAATGACAAACAAGTCACCGACGAGTGAGGAAAAGCCAGTGAAGTATAGATAAAATCAACTGCAGAAAACTAGAAGAGTCGAAGAGCGAATGGAATCCTGGAGTCTACAGGTCAATAGAACCCTACAACAACTAAGCAATTCAATCATCCGATGGCCAAGCCACAAGAGGGAGGGGGATGAAGCTAAGCTGGAAATTCTGGAGTAGACCTAATTCTTGAAGAAACTCTACAGGCACAACATCCAGGAAGGGACAACAGGATCAGAAGAGAAAAGCTAAAACGCCAAGATCAAAGATAAGCTCCAGCAAAATCGACTCTTAAATGGAGATCCTGTAACACAGAACACCAGAAAGAAAAAGGCAGGCGAGTCCGCAAAACTTTAAGTGGACTCCTGGACCCACGGCTCCTGCCTAGGAGATATAAGATTAAGGATGTTCCAGGGATCTTGTAGGATGCTATTGGCGGCTACACAGAATAACCTCAAGGAGTAGTACTTTTCCGACCAACCAGAGCTGCCCGGCCGGATGGCACAAAGAACCCCTCAGGACTGTAAAGCAAAGCTATAGTAAAAGAAGAAAACAGACCCCACATTTCTATACACTAAGAGCCTAGGAAGGTTCCGAGCAACTCTCATCTGAATCTCATGCCAGAGAGGATTATGCTTCCCCAAAATATAGGGCCAGACCTCGACCAGTTCCCCAAAAGGCGGCGTAAGGATTTAAGCCAGTATGAACCAAACAAGCAGAGTACAGCACCAACCATCCCCAGGCAAGCACTACAAGCGTGGGACCAAAGGAAGGCACAATTACGAAGTTGGAACCTATGGATTGAAGGTAGCGAGGGGGGGATAGGCGTCAAGCAAAATACACGAGGGCTGACAGGGGCGAGCCAAGGAGTGATAGAGTCGAATCATGAGGAGGTATCTAAGTAGATGCAGCTTCGAGAGAGCAGAATCCCCAAAAGAGCTGAAGAAACAGAGACAGTTCTGGCTCACAATGGCCGCCCAATCGTTCATTCAAGTGAGCAAGAGCCAGGTTAATAAGTGATATTATCCTAAGATAGAACAAGGCATAAGGAGGTTCAGAAAAGAATTCTCCTGCCGCACAAGGAAAACATGCAGGAAAATGAAAACTTGCTAGGAGCCAGAAAATACGAAAATGAAACAGATCATAACTCCTGAGAGAAATAAGCACAACATCAGGAGAGGAGAAGGAAGGAGCCAACAGATCGAGAGGATGGAAGAAACTGAAGACCCAGGAATAACCCCGCAGGAGGCATCAACCAGCCTGGAGCAGCTTCAGCTAGGGGCTAAAGAAAAAGGGAGACAAGAAGCAAGACGAAGTTTAAAGCGAAGGAACTGACCACAACTGAGACATTACACGAAACAACAGGTCGCGAACAACACCAAGAGACAATAGCGGATAGGAAGGGAACAGACGAGGAATGGACAAACCTGGACAAGGAGGGGGTAACGGGCCAACCTGAAAAACCACCTAACCCCAGCGAAGGGAAAAATCAGGTCGAGTTACGAATCAGTTTTAAGGGAATAGGGACAAGGCAAACAGCCCAACCGCAAAATGGAGAAAACAGAAAACCTCATCTCTACAGGCCTAGGCAGAGCAAAGAGCAGAGTCATCACCCAAGAAACAGAATAGATACGGGACAAATGGGCGCCCACAACAGCCGACGAGAGACTCGACTGAAGACAAACCAACACCAGCGAATTCTGGAGGCCAAATGAACTCGAAGCCCCCACCTATTCAGGACATAGGGGCCTCAGAGACCGAGTAATATTAATCACCAGGACACTACCCCCAACGAACAATAGGAAGGAAGTTTCGGAGCCCAAGATACGATGGGAATGCATCGGATGACGGGCCAGCGTACAGCTGGAACGAAAAAGAAACCCTCGCCTCACAAGCGGCTCATAGAACAAGCAGGGCGGATACTGACAACCCTGCCAAACACAGCGAAATAGGCAGAGAATGGAAGAAGGTGACCCTCACCTAGAAAATCAAGCAGGAGGTGGGCGACTAAGTAGGGTATATACTAACACAGCCGCATGGACAAACTGCAAGGGCAGACCCCAAGGGGCCAACTCAAGGACACCTCCAGATCAGAGGGGGACCACACGCAACGAGCTCCTCCATAGGGCCGGACCCCCCAGGCGGTGGGCCAAACGAAAAGAGGCGAAACAGCTCCCCCCCAGCCAACAGCGCCTCTCTCTCTGTGGGTACATACCGCAGGCAAAACGCAGGAGCAGCCGTTAAGGAATTGTCGTTAAGGTGCAAGACCAGAAGATCCGGATCGCCACCTCGTGAATCGACTACGGAACCAAGCCACAGGATGGGGGGTACGAGCCCAAGCAACGAAGAAGACGGAAGGGAGGATTAACGACCCAGCCGCCAACTACTTCCATCAGACACCAGAGCAGCGGAAAGTGGCCACCGCCCCCCCGAAAGAAATAGCTACTTGTCAACACAAAACCCAAATCCAGGAATGACTAATAGCAGTCACGGAGAGCCTTCACAAAGCTGCCGCAGCATAAGAAAATAAGGACATTTAAGGCACCACGAGGGGACCGAGAAGAGGAACCTGACTCTCCAGCAGGAGGTTGAGGGGCAAATCATTAGGAAATGAATAAGACTAAATAAGTGACACTATACGGAAGTGAGAAATGGAAAACAGGTGCTCGTCTTGCTCCAGAGGGCAATTACCGAGAGGAGGATTGAACAGAGTAGCATCAATGGACTCTCTTTAAGGGGACCTGAACGATTGACTAAACAGGCAAAAGTCCCTGATCGGGGTCGACTGGAGATGTCATTAAACGGAATCCACACCCCCAGGGGGCACAGCCACCCAGTGATAAACAAGCAAAAAAAAGAGTCAAGCAGCAGCAATCCGAGTATAGTCTGATTCCAAATAGGACATACGGTTAAAGATCGAGGCCACTGGCCTAACCTGAAGTGGAATATCCAAACGAGTCCAAACGAACAGTAGAATCGTCAGTGAACGAGGTCAAAGTCTATTCATGGACTAGGAAGAAACGGAACCGCCAATCCAAACGACTAGGAGCCTCAACGGCACCCGAGACTCCCACGATGAGCACCGAACGGCTAAGTGGTAGCGTGAGAGAAAATTAGCGTGAAGATCAAAGGAAACTTCTCGCATTAAGTCAAGCGGAAGCAATCACTGAGACACGATTCTCCAAACGGTTGGACTATATTTTCTGCAGAACAAGCCATGTAGAAGACTTTCATACCAGATAAAGGAGGATAATAAATCAACTCCCTCGTAGACGTCGACAGGAGAACCTGGGCCGCAAGCCCCCTCGTGGACAGTGAGAATAAGAAGACATCTACTTAGTCCTGCCAACTGAAGTTAGATAAGGAGGACGAGTCTACTGCTATTCCAGAGACAGCACGTGGTAGTCAGGCCACGCCGGGTCAAAACATGACGGAACGAGACGGCGCGGGAGGCTGGTGGGCAGACATAGGGAGCGCGCACGTGACCAAACGCCAGCCTGGAGGAACAAGGAGAAGAGAGTAATAGGATGTCTGTGAATTAGGGAACCGGGGCCTAACCCAAGGAGGAGACTTCAATTTCGTGTCCGAGCAGCACCAGCAACAGGGCGGACCTCAGCTCCAGCAAGATTAGGAAAGCGACTCCTTAGGACAACGCACCTCCCGGCAAAAAAGATGACAAGTGAAACAGAAAGCAGTACAGGGCCGTATCAGCCAGAAGAGTAGGGGGGCGGGACGAGAAACTAAGCGAGAGAGAGGGGAGGGGCCGAAGAGGGCCCAGTGAGTCATGGAGGCACCCCCGAGTGTTGGACCCTAAGGGGGGGATTTACGATACCCGAGGAAGAGCAGGGATCGGGTAAAGGAAAGAAACTGAGGAGACATTGGAGAGGAGGGATGGACTAGAGAACCCAAGGAACGAGCCGGTAGCCAGCGGCTCCTACGGAACAAGAGGCTAAAGGCAGAAGGGAGTTCAGGGCAGCGATGTCAGGGGGATAAGGGGACAGGTCTTAAGTTAATAGTGACTATACGGACGCCACGCCCCACAGATGAATAACCGTCAAGACGACTAGGGCTCCAGGTGGCTCTGGGTGATCCGTATGTTTAGGAGCGAATAAATATGGGAAACGATGAGCCAGACTGGCGAATTTTTTTAAAGGAAGCCAAGGAGCATTGGATCAGCAAACCAGCAGCGCAGAACCAGGGACATTGTGACGATGGCAATAGACTATATTGTTTCGGACCGTATGGACGAAGCGAGGGGTCTGTCCCAGGGTTCTTAGGCACCTGGGCCAACTTGGTGAAGGATTTGGACAAGGGAGAAGATTGGACCAGCCTAGCCAGCTCTGAACACCCTCTCGTGAAGGACATGTTAACCCCCCGAAGGAGCGGCTATGAATGGAAGCACCTGTTGATGTGTATCCTCAAGCACGCATTGAATCTAAGACAAATAACCGCAAAGTCCAATGACTACTCAGAGACCATCTGGACCAGCAATCGCTGGAATGATGCATTGAACAAAGGTGTGACCGATCCGTGGAACAGTAATAATACAGGGAGGGGAATGTTCATAGCTGTCACATGTATCATAAGGGCCTTAGTAGGGAACTTTAAAAGGGAGGAAGAGAGATTCCAACAAGTTAGCCAACTCTGCCAGCATGTCTGGGATACAGTAGGACTAAGACTGGAAAAACCTACGGGAAGAGGCAACAAACGGGAAGTAGAAAATCTAGAACAGTTCATGGCGACCCTAGGGGACGACAACCAGAGAACGAGGGATAAAAAGGCACGGATGGGACTTTTGTTCAGTATATATTATGGATTAGAACAGTGCGCACAGCGTTCCCGTCCGTATGAATTGTCAGGACTCCTGAGGACTAGTGGGTGGGACCTGAAGAAAATAGGGAGTTGTATTTTAACACATGACACGTTTAGATGTGATGCAGGCGCAAACTCCGAAGGTATGACGCGCCTAAATCTCTGGAACAGAGGAGCCCAAAGCTTGCTTAGGGAGGAAACCCCAGAGCAGGCTCCTGGGGACTCCATCAGGCTAATCTTCGGAGATACGCAAGCAGAAGTCCAGGCTAAGAGGGAGAAGGCCCAAAGGGCAGCCAACGAGTCAGCGATGCGGATGAAAAACCAACTGGAAGCTCAACATAGCCTCCATAGCGCTAGTCATGTCGTATATGGATCAGATCCTCAAAACCTGCAGGTACATACGAAGCCCTCCCCCTCCCACCAGCAGGCTGAGGCCTCGATCCCCCTACTCAACCCCCATTATCCTGCACGCCCAGCGCCGAAGGTAGTAGACGAGGAAGATGCAAAGGACTCACCCCCCAGCAGCCTCGATAATTTACCCCAACTGAGGGAGCTGGATCACGATACCAAGAATGAGAACTCCATTCCAGCGACCACCTTGGAAGGCGGGGTGCCAACATCCCCTGGGGAGCAGCCCGATGAGAAGACAAATCAAAACAGAAACCTATTGAGTGATAGACTCCACACTCAGCCTAAGGATGAGAAAATTCCTCTCCTTCAGGGCAACACGCAGGGCGCTGTGGGTAATATAGTAGGGGGGATCATTGGGACCCTCCTGGCTCTAGGGGGCTTCTATGGTTTTTATAGGGTTTATCTAAGAAGGAGGCCAAGGAACAATCATGAACTTCCCTTCCAGGATCCTCTGCTGCGAAGAGTAAGTTATCGTCCAGCAGAACTCTGAATCCAAGCAAAAAAAAGAAAGTCAGGAGATCTGTGGCAAAATCAGCGGAAGATAGACTGGACCCCCCTCCTTGGACAAGGCGTAGGACGTTTGTTTCAAAATCCACGCCTAAAAGGATCACGCCGAAGCTACTGGGTCGACTAGGATCCGGAAAAGTGGGGCGGCAATGTTGAGCCTCTCCACCGGGCAAAAGGGTGACTCCGAAGGGCCACGAGAGGATGATGAAGAACCTGAGGTTGCAGGGGCGGGGTATGGGACAGTGGATTTGGAGTTTAACGTCTCGCCTTACACATGGAAGCGGGAATCTGTGGACCTTGCGATTGAAAAGGAGGACTTCGAGTTAGAGCATCCCCCGACGCTCTGTCACCCCCCGTCCCGCGTGTAAACTGACAGAAGGTTGAGGCGTATAGATTGGCGGTATACCATTAGGGATTTAGGAGGGGGGGCTGGGGGAACTGGGATTGGGGTTCGGGTTTAGGACTCGAGTTGTTAGGTTCCCGTTTTAGGGTCTAGGGGCTGACATTTTAGGATTAGGGTTCAGGTTTAGGGTTCAACATTGAGGGTTCAGGTTCTGGGCTTAGGGTTCAGGGATCTGGGTCCAGATTTACGTTTCAGCTTTACCTCTAGTGCTGCGCCTAGTTGTCAGGGTTCAGGTTTCGGGTCAGGGCTTTAGGGCTTACGACTAGGGTTTAGGCTTTAGGGCTGACGTCCTTAGGTTCAGGGTTTAGGGTTAGGTTCAGGTTTAGGTTTAGGGGTTAGGGGCTAGGTTTCAGGGTCTACGGGTCACGGGGCAGGGTCTAGGTTGCGTTTTGTGTTGAGGGTCTAGGGCTCAGGATTCAAGGGTCAGGGTTTAGGTGTCACGGGTCAGGGTTCAGGGTGTTAGGGTTTAGGGTTCAGGGACTAGGGTTCATCGTTTAGGGTTCAGGGTCCAGGTTTTAGGTTTAGGGTTCAGGTTTTAGGTTTAGGTTTAGGGTTCAGGGTTCAGGGGTTAGGGTTTAGGGTTCAGGGGTTAGGGTTTAGGGTTCAGCGATCACGGTTCAGGGATTAGGGTTCTGGGCTTAGGGTTCACGTTGTATTTGTAGGGTCCAGGGTGTCAGGTTTAGGTTCAGGGTTTAGGTTTAGGGACAGGTTTCAGGTGTTAGTGGTCAGGTTCTGGGTTCAGGGTCTAGGGATTAGGTTACAGGATTAGGCTTAGTGTTCATGGTTTAGCGTTTAGGGTCTATTTTTAGTGGTTACGGTTCAAGGGTAGTGAGAGTACTGTTGGGTGTTTATGACACAGGCTTGGGGGTTCAATTATGATGACTCAGCGTTGGAGGTTCACTTTTTAGGGATTCGGGGTCACTTTCTAGGGTTCGTGGTGTAGGTTTAGGGTTAGGTTTATGATTCACGTTTAGGGTTTCACCTTTTAAGTTTCAGGGTTTATGTCTTACGGCTTATGGTTTAGGGTTTTGGCGTCAGTTTTTAGAGCTTAGCGTTCAGGGGGGATGTCTCAGGCTCTATGGGTTCAGCCTTATCTTTGGGGATCACTATCTTATCTTTGGGATCCAGGATTTATGTTTTAGTCGTCAGTCTCTACAGTCTATGATTTAGGATTCACGATTTATGGAAGAGGGTTCCGGGTATATCATTCAGCGTTATCTTTTAGCATTTCGCGTTCATGGTTTAGGCTTCAGGTTTATGCGGATGGATTGAGCTGGATTGGTCAGTGTCAATTTATTAGTGCCTATTTTTCGCGCTCTATCTCCTGACCTTCGTCTGCTCGGGCTCTGTCGTATGAATAATTCGCAAGGGCTACTAGTCAGGGGGCTAAGCTTCCTGTTCTAGTTTGTATCCCTCAGAGTCCCTCTCCTACCTTTTATCGTTCAGCTATTGGGGGGTAGCTCGAGTCCTCAGATGGATCCTGCATATGTATACTATATGCCAACACTCGCCCTCTTATTTATATGGGCCTAGAGCTCGGTGTTTCTGGTCTCAGGCTTCAGGCGCTGTTTTTCATGCTCCATTATTGCTTCTTATACACTTAGCGTCATACGCTTAGCTTTTTTCGTTTATTGTTGACGCTTCAGTCCTGTTTCTTTAAGCTCCGGATTTTTGATTTCTCTGTATTCTTTTACGCTATTAGTTTTATCTTGCAAGCCGTAAACTTCATGGCTCATGGGGTCTCATGTATGTTGTAGGGTTCATGGTTGATGATCCAAGGTTCCTGTACTATGCTCCTCTTCGGTTTCTAACCACTCAGCCCGCAGGGAATAATCCCTATCCGGCTGGTTTCTCTTGTCATTATTTCGGATTTCGCCTTATTCTTGCTTGACCTTGTACTATACCTCCTGGGTCCTGTTAAGCTTTGCTTTTAGGCGCTGGATCCTGCTTAGTACATCTTACGCCTTCTTTCCTTTTGTACCCCCTTCTGCACTTTCGTATCATCCTCTAATGTTGGAGGTTCACATCCTATTGTTCATTCTTTGGCAGTACATCTTCCTTTATATGGTTCACCCTTAGGTTTGCTTTTCCTTGCATGTATTGAGATGACTCACCCTTGACCGCGTAACCTCAGGTTTCAGCCTGTTCTTATGCATGACATTGCGTCGCCACCTCATCGTTGTAGCCTTTGGTGCTATGCTGTATGGTTCACTCTCTACTGTTTAATTTCTAAGGTTAATGTTTTATCCTCTATTCTTATGGTTTGAGTCCTGATTTTACGGCTGATGCCTTATCCCTTATGTGTACGCCTCAATGTTTAAGTCCCCTGTCATCGTGCCGCTTTCACTGTTTAGTCTTTAGCTGTATCTTCGAATAAGTAATTGTCGGCGCCCCGGTTTTAGGCGCTAGGCTTCATCTGCCTCCTGGCCATCTTCACGGTTTTACTGTGTAGGGGTTATTGGCTTGCTTGTAGGTTTCGGGGTTCAGGATTTATGGCTTAGGCTTCAGCCTATATGGTGTACTTGTGATGCTTCTGCCTTATCGTGTCTTGGAACCCTCTATCGTCCATCCCCATGTTTAATTTTTCATGGCTACGGCATCATTTTTGTCCTTCTGGCTTATCTTCTTCCTATTAGCGCTTAGGATCCTGTTTTGTATTTCGGCGTTGCCCCTTGTAGATTTCATGATTTCCCCTTTATCCTTATGGTATACCGCCGAGTGGATACCTTCAGGATTTATCCGTTTGTTGTGAATTATATGGGTTTCCTAGTACGCCCTAGGGGTAGAATACAGAGTTTCTGAGTACTGTTTTCTGCTCAGGTATATTTGCTATGTGTTTACGCCTTAGGCTCGTTTGTTGCAATTTATTCTATCATTCCTCAGTCTATGTTCCTGAATGCTCCTTCCTTATGCATCAGGTGTATTTTCTACAGCTGTTAACCTGCTGGGTCCTGTTCAAGTGCTTGTTTTCTAGGCTTTATGTTTTCTATTTCTGTTCTACCACTTGGTCTTGAACGTGTTGTTCTTAGGGTGTATGATCTATTGTGTAGGCGTTATCGCTAGGGGGCTATCCTCCCTGTTTTTCGTTGTTTCATCACCCTTTAAAGTGTCTTGATTACGGTTCCCCATTTAATGCTGTCTGCTGTGATCTTATATTCCGGACTTTGCGCATTCTTCTTTGGCCTCTATCGGCCACTGCTGGTGTCCAAGCGGCGTGCCTCTCACTTTGAGTTACCATATGATGTTGTTTTTTCTGTGGTAATCTTGTGCCTACTGGCTGTTTTTAAGGTTTTTCTTCCTAGTTCTTCTTTAAGGTCTTTTCCTATCTCTTTGGGAAGATATAATAAGACATATATCTGTAGATTCTTTATTATTCTGCCCAGATTCAATATATCCTAAGTCTCTTAATATAAAAATACGAAACACTCAATGTTCAGACTGTGTTCGTTTCTTGTATTGAGATATATACATAAGGACAACAGTCTTACTGATTTAGTGCTATTTTCCTGGCTGTCTTATTCTCATCCTTCTTCCATAGGATATATCTGTTAAATCGGCGAGTTATACAGGGGGCGATGACGCGCCTAATTATAAAGCACATATTCATCTATATTAATGTTAATCCATACTGTTGTAAGATCTGTTGCTCAGGAGTTGTCCCTCA